TGTTTAAAAAGAAGTGCTCCACTTTACGAGCGACACTTTTGTACATGCAGAAGATATTACATAGCCATACTGAGTGGCCAAGTAGTTTAAAAGCTAATTGATATTTACTTTAAAGACGATGTGCGAGACAACTGTGTCAGGTAACTCTCTTGATTCACATATTCAGACGTCTTCATCTTCCACAAAAAGCTAACGAATTCAAAGCCATATACAACTATCTTTGCAATGCGTAAATGAGCTACATTTAAGTGTTTTATTGCTGTGAAGAAAAAAATAGATCAACATTTTTATGTGACTGTTTGGAAAATGTGTGCATTTCGGATTAACTTGTGTGCCAGCATTCCAGCCATTTTTCATCTAGTGTTCACAGAATTTATTATCGAACGGGCACAAGAACGTTATGTCCATGTAAAGGTCCCGATGGTTTTTTGGAAAATTGGCACGTTATGTTTCCTTTATCTGCTAACTCTTGACGTCTTTAACTGCTTATCTGTACGCCAAATTCAAACGACGCTAACCGTAATAAAGTGTCTGGCCTTTTTGTTAGAGTTAGGAGCACTAGCCAAGATGATTATAGTTAACATATCTCGGTTTCTTGCTCAAAATACTGCAAAATATCTTTCGATTAAGTGGGTGCTAATCATAAAAGTGTAATTAAACAAGAAACATGATACATTTTATTACTTTGCACCGGTTTATTCAATTATTTTGCATCTTATAACAAAATTCAAGAGCCAATTATGAGCCTAAAGAGTACTCAACATTTGTACCGTGTATCATGCAGAGTTTTACGTCTAAGAGTTAGTATAAGTGTTCTCAGTAAGTGCATAAAAACTTAACAGTTAAAACAGGTGCTTAAAGGCAGTTGGTACACTCATGCTGTCAGTGTGTAAATTCTTTTAGCCGCTCATAGTATTCAAGGTAAATTTTCAAATTAGACATCCAAACAGCAGTTTTGGTCCCATATCTCAGGAGGCATCTGGACCAATCCTTCCGTCTTTGCTAAGAACTGTTCTCAAGGATAAGTAATAGATGCGATCACTGGGACGTCAGGAAAATAAGGCTCTTGTTCCAGCGATCGCTTCTACTTATTGTTATCTATTTCCTAGAACTCGCATCTTCAATTATATCGGTTTTAAAGGAGCCTAGCGAAGCAGTTATTGCGCTTTGTATATAGTTCCAGTCGATGTTTTTCGTTTGCCCTTAATCCTATAAAATCTTGTCAAAATACAGGGGAAGTATGCGAGATATTTAGTCTTCTGATGAGATTTTTTGCTTATGCCGTGAAGTTCCTCACTGCAATAATGTCTGTATTAGTTTCCAGCTCGTGGTAGTCACTAGTTTTGGCTGAAGTTTAACATTTTAGGACTTTCATTCGGACCCATATTATAAAGTACAACCAGTATTTTTGTGTATTTTGCAGCTATAAGATGCAACTTATTAAAAAAGGATGTGCCTTTATCGTTTGCTATAACTGCGAAAAGCAATGACAGCAAAATTGAAAATTGGCTTGTCTTAGCCCTCTTCCAAATAGATACAGTTTTCCGTTTTTTCCCATATTCTGACTGACTACGGCCCGCTAGATCTTTATAAATTACTCTTCTGACGATTGCCTACGTTCACAGAGACGATTTTTAAGTGCACACGTTTTCCAGATAATTGCTTGTGTACAGTAGTGGCACTGTTATTTTGTCGACGGACAAAATGTCATAGATGAAAATAAAAGGCAGAGTGTGGTTCACCGCACACAAAGAAAGAAAACGTTTTTTATCGGTATTAAAACACTTTCTAGGGTTTGATCAATAAAGATGCTGATCCTGATGTCCAAAATGAGCTTATGTGGGGTTTTTCCTACCATACAATAAAAAAATATTTTAGACTACATAGAGTACCAGAATTCTAAACTGTATTTTTAACTAGAAAGTAATACCTATGTGGGGTTCTAATGTTGGTTATCCTGCAATGTAATCCCGAGGTATTTTAGTCACGCCAGCGATTGACACTTTATTAAGAGTTATATGTTCGACCCTAATTTAAATGATAGGAAAGCGAAGTTAAATTCATGTTCTGCTGGAACCAAGTTTATTCCTTTGACATGAACGCTCCCCCTGTTTTTTATGTCAGCCAAATGGATAATGCCAGCGAAAAGGTTTGATTTTCTCCCCTGATATGCAATGTTTGTCAGACAACTGAATTAACGCTCACATGAATTAAGAGGATTTAAACACACAGCATAACCCGGTATCTTTCAGTCAACGGAGCTCTTATTCCTAGTTCTCAGAGTTAATCGCCTGTTTAAATAAGTTTTCAAGTCTGTAGGCTTTTTATCCAAGGGCACACATTTTCGGCTCTCTAGCAACCGTTGCTGAGCTCGCATGTCTGCATTAAACTTCAAATAACACCGCAATTATTTCAGAAGAGCTTTTAACTATCGAGTGATTAATCTGTACGGTGGACACTTTGGTCCAAGATGCCTGACAAATAGGAAAATAGCATTTTGTCAAGTAATGAGCATGTCCTACTCATGTAAACGGACCGTTATAAGAAATGGTCTGAAACAAGTTTCCAAATTTAAGTAATGACTTTAAAAAATTCAAGAAATGATTATTTGTTAATGGCTGCAAGAAAAAAACTTTGTGAAATATCTTACCGCCTTGTGGAAAGAACTTTCCGTAGATTACTTTGAAAACGTCTTCAGTTAGCTGCCCAGTAGGACAATCCTTTAAATGAAAGGTTATTTTCTAAGTATACTAAACGTTCGCGAATGGAAACTAGCAATGTACATAACACGACAAGCAAATGCACTAAAGAAACAAGCAAATTATTAGGTTGACACGTCATTGTTCTAATCTAGTTTTTTTAATGAATTAATCCATGCTCTAAATATATTTGCTTGCATATTACATAAATACTTCGCAAATCTCAGAATTTTCTTTTAGGCCCTAAGAAAAATGACGCAATTAAACAGGATTCCAGCAAGTTCGCTTTACTTCAATCTGTCTTTTTTCCTGCACAGGGATTTTATAAAGTTTGATTACACTTTACAGTTTTTGTATTTATTTGGGTGTTTGAAACCATGTTGCCTATTTAGCTCGCTTACCTGTTTGAAGCCTCGATATATAATCTGCAGTTCTCTTCTTGTGAATTGTGTGCATTTGAGCAGTGTCTGTATGCCAACGGGCTTCTGGCGAAAATAATTTGCCTCGACATCCTCTAAGTCGGTGTCTATAAAATTATTGAAAATATGCACATGGTACATGTACACAAAGTAGGAAGTGGTGGGGTAGAACACAAATTTAGGCAACAGTGGCAATTTAATGTCAACATCATTAAAAATAGTGTAGATCATTAAAAATCAAAACATTTGATTGCATGAAAAGCAGTTACCACTTCTTTTTCGCGTCTTTTCCCTCCAGCTTAAAATGGCCGAATGAAATCCTCCCTTCGTTATAAATGGCATGTGACCGAAGATTTACTAATTCGTAAATGTTAGGAAGGAATAAATGTGAACACCGCAGGCATAATTTCTGCATTGATAAAGCTGAGCCAATACACGAGCTCCTTTAAAAACTATCCACTCTGACATTCACGCCAATGAAACCGTAAAAAGAAGCTGGAGTTATTCCATTGGTCTTTCTAACTGCCAATGCCAAACACGAATTAAGTGCACTGAGTTTTCAGTGCGTTCTCGAAGCCGTTCTTCAACGCACCTACAAGCACAGTCTGCTATATTAATTGGTTTGATTTGCTCGACGGGAACGATATCATATAGAAAGAGGAAATATCATGTAGGGATTTACTTAGTTTTCTTTCCGAAGGATTCCCCTGTTGGCAGTATTGTTGTTGTTAAAAAAGAGGGTTTCTTTAGAATGCTGGTATTATCGTTAAAAATTATAATGTTCATCATTACAGTACACAAGGCCAGCCTAATAGAAACTCATGCTAGCTCTACAGTGCAGAGTTACATAAATACTTAAGGAAGGGGAAATTTCAAGACGTTATTCTGTGCCGAATGTGACACACAGCTTCACTAGGAGACCGAGTAATATGATATAGCAGGTTTAGGTGTTCATTAAATTAAATGTCAATGTCAGAAAGTTTGTGTGTCACCTAAATGGCACTTTCTATTTAACGACTCTCAAAAACCAAGAAAATCCAGTTAGATACCATCTACTTAATGGATAATTATTTGAAGGCGAGAAGAAAGAAGTTACGTGTCAAAAATGTCTTATCGTTTTAGATTTTTAGAACCCCTTGGAGAATTCGTGATAAGACGGATATTTGAAGCAATTTCTCCTAGGTTCGAAGCTAAAACGCGCGCACACATCAAGAGTTATGGATGCCAACAAGTTTTGGGATGGCTTACCAACCGCAACCCATCGATGTATAACACAGAGAACAAATAAGAAACATACAGTAATTTGAATTTGCAGAGAAAAATGAATACAAAACAGCAAGGTTATTGGTTATTGTCCACAGACAATTCTGTGAAACGGGTAACTTACAAACGGAATTAAGGAGGGAAAAAATTGGGAAAGTTAGCACACAAAAAGGGAGAGTTTAAACCCAAGGACTGAGGATTACCAGGGAAAGCTGAGGTTGACCAGGTGGTCTAGCTGTTTGTATAGGTCAGGTTTTTCTTGCCTTATGTAGGCTGCTTCCAATTAGCGCAACGTCCAAGTTCTGTGTGCCCAAACAAGTACACAAAAGGATGTTTTTGGAATCAGCGGGGTGACGGCTATCTAGGAGGCAAGGTGTGGTGACAAGATGTCCCCCATGATTTCAAGGGTGTGGGAAGGAATCCTGCAACTCCGTGAGTGTCACAGTGGAATCTCGCTGCCCAAAGCTTTTACAAAGATGTAACCTCGCATGATTTTAGTCGTCTACACAGCCATCTGGAACACGAACTTCTCCTGGAAATTCAGTGTGGTTTTCGACAATACGGCGAAGCCACCCAAGTGAACTTCATCGCACGCAAACTGAAGGCTTAGTGCAGGCAAATGCAGACTGGCCTAAAATTTACATTCGTCGACCTGATGAAGGCCTTCAACCCAGTGAGTCGCGATGGACTCTGGAGGATTATTTAGAAACTCGGCTGGCCCGTGCGATTCCCAAAGTATGATGCGTTGCATTCACGGCGGGATGATGCCGTGCCTCACAAACAATAGGACGGCATCAGGAGCTCCAGAATGGGCGCACACTGGCCCACTAGCTTTCCGAAGCAAACGGGCATCGCAAAGGTAAAAGGGGTCAAAAACAGGCCACCGCCTACCAGGCCGAAGTCGGCCAAACTATGATAGTAGCAGGTGGTCAGGGTCATGGTTGGCTGAATGGAAGCAAACAAGCCGGAAACGGTTCTATATCCGTCTACCCCGCAGACTCCGTCATCTCTTTTCTAGATTCAGAAACATTTACAGTGACCAATAGAGCGGAGCAGGACTGTGTACATTTTCCCACCCTCCTCACTCTTACGTTCTCTGCTACATTGATGGACGCCTATTTCAAAGACCGCCTGAAATCAGCGTCGTATACAGAACCGATGGTCAGCTTTTCAATACCCGATACCTGCAGACCCCAACACATCTATCCACGACTACTGCCTACGACCTGCTTTTCGCGGGTTACTGCAAGTTACTGAAGGCAGTAGATACGCACCGGAGTATAGATCACTTCAACGCTGGATGTGCACACTTCGGGCCGCACATCAGGGCGGATAAAACGGTGGTCTTACACCAGCTGTAGGCTTATACAATGACCCTCGCATCACTGTCACCGTCTTCCAAACGCAAAGAGTGGACAGCGTAGCCTAGTTAGGCAAAAATCTTGATTGAACACTTATATTGACGATGAAGAGGAACACCGGATCTCTAAGGCCGGCAGGGCCGTCGGTCGGCTGTAGGCTTCCGTTTGGAATCGTGATGGTCTCCATCTCAACACAAAGCTAGAAATGTATAAAGCTGTCATCTTGACATCGCTGCTGTATACAGCGGAATCTTGGACATTATACGAGAGACAGGCGGAAAAAATTAATCAATTCAACCTCAGCTACCTCCGTGGAATACTTAAGCTAAGATAGTAATACAGGACCCCTAACACAGAATTCCACAAGCGAATCGGAATCCTCAGCATACATGCGATACTGATACAAATCGAACTGTATTGGAGCGACTAGCTCGCAAGGATGGATGATAAAGGTCTTCTCAGTTGGTTCTTCTACGGCAACAACACTATAGATCCTAACTGATAAAAGGAAAAACAACGCTACTGAGACATTCTCCCTTAGGGATTTGCATACCAACTCGGATACCTGAAAGAAAATCGTCGAAATTCGACCGGCCTGGAGAAGAGTAGTGAAGACTGGAGCAGTAATCTAATAAATCAGTCGAATGGCCGCAGAGAAATTCAAAAGGGCGGCTCGCAAGTCTCCAGTGCCGCTGACCTACAACTTCAACGCCCAACCACATCCAGCATGTCCGCGCTGCTAACAAAGATTTCTCGCGAAGACCTGCCTCATTCAACATTGTCGGATAAAAGGCAAAAACGGCCTGACAGCCCCACCTTCAGCCTCAGACGCTTCCATCGTCACTCCTGCAGTAACTTGCACGGTTTCCACAACGGCGAACACCACCGCTACCGTTGTTCACACACTTGATAGCCCGACACCACCACTGTAGCCATCGACCACCGCCAGTTCTATCATCATTGCAATGAACCTCTTGACCTTGCCACTGTCACCACCGGCGAAAACAATTCTGACGCCCAGTCGGTTACCACCCCTACCACCAACGCCTCCACCACTTGCAATGTGGACTCGATCCCAGCCTGTCGTCACTGTGATCACACCCTACACTTCGTCTAGGTCTTGTCGGTCACTTACGAATCCATCACACACTGAATGGCAAACCAATGCCTGGAGCGTCAACATACATCCATTACTATTGCTATAACTGCCCGCATCGTCCACGCATATTCAACCACCGCACGGACTTCCTCTGTCGCATGCACACCCATGCGACTCTGTGGTAAACCAATACATATTTCCCCACCGGCACATACACCACACACGAACCCCTCCTACATCCTTCAAACAGACACGCAATGGGTACCTCTCATTCAAGTAGGGACATGTTCTTTGGCTCCTTCTCCATGTGGCCTCTATCACATTCTAACGTATGCAAGCAGCCCACCCACCTTGTCTGAAAACCTGGTGTGTTGTAGAGCGGTTGGGGGTAGTTGTGTATGACACAAGCAAACGAGTTGTTTTAACTCTGCCAGTCACTGCGCCTTAATTTTAGCATACGTCTACTGCTGTCTGGGAAAGGGAAGAGAGAGTGAGGCCGGTTCTTGGGGCTCCATCCTCACAGCCCTCAAGCGCATTTCTCGTTACACTACATCTGACGCGCACAAATCTTTTAAGACACGACAAATTCTGCGGACTAGAAGGCTACCGAATGACGGCACTACTCAAACCTGTCAACTGGCCCTGTGTATGTTGATGTGGATCGGTCGACTGGTGGACTAGGGTTCGGACTCGACGATTCCTCATTAACCATGCCTTTATGGCACTCTCTCGCATGTGAGATCAGTGGCGCCCAATCCTGCGTGTGAAAAACTGAGCGTGCCACGTGGGTACCCCAATAAAGATCCACACGGTAGATGCGCTGGATCAACACAGGGGCTAAACTCGAGTCCGACAGGCGTTTTCGGGAATAGGCACCCATAACAAATCCAAACATTGGGAGGTGGCGGTTGGCCCACTTGCCGGTCCACTCCGTGCCAATTAGAACCTGAATCGCCTTCTTCCGTTATTATAATATAAAATACTAGTCACTGTACGTCGTGTACCACTGGCTGTAGTGACACGCCCAGACGAGGGCTTTCGCCGTGCCAGCCACCTGCGTCCCCTCCCGCCTCCGGTCTTCTTGACTCCGTCTTGACACCGGTCAGGGAGGAGAGAGTAGGACAGATTTCGCGCAATCCTACTATCGCTTTTATACAAATTTCTGCACAAGCCACCGTCCCTGCTCTCACCCTGCTCTCGGCAATGACAGTCGAACTGTCATGTTATTCGGGGCCAGGTCACTTGTTTCGCCCACAGCCGGGCTGCCTAGCTTTGCTAGCTGGCACGCCCATTTACCGCATCGGGTGACTGACCTACTCGGCGGTAGACTGGTGCCTGGGAAGAAGAAGACAGGGTGAGGTCCGATCTAGGAACTGCGTCTCTACGGCATCCAACACATATTCCTTGCTGTAAAAAAGTTCACGCGCTTTTAAACTACCACGGTAGGCTTGTAAAGCTACCAACTGACGAGATAACTCGGCCCTTCCCCCAGGACAGAGAGGAAGATCGCAATGGCTTTCTCCTAATGTGGTCTTTGTGACACTTCTACTCAGTTGGAATCTGAGCCGCCGTTTTGTCGTGTGTGCGTGAAAACCTGTTCCCTTCTGTGAGAACAAGGCATGTGTGGTCCGCGTAGATGGGCTGTTTAACATTGTCAGCAAATGCACCCGATCCCACCCCCCGCCCCGTTTTCTCGAATCTGTCTCGAAACCGGGCGGGTGACGAAAGAAAGTGACCTGGATGCGTCGTAAGCCCGCCACTACTATAAACGAATTCACACGAAAGTCATCATTCTCGTGTCCACAATACTGTCGAGGCATGGTGAACATCGTCGGTAATGACAGTCAAACGCTCAGTAAACAAATGGATGCAAGTTAACAAGCAAGCATCGTATCAAGTACAAACCTCGGCGATGAACGTGAGAGTTGCTAGTTACGAAAGCGGTGTGGTTACACGGCAGCCGCGACATCTATATTCTCTATTCCCTGTGCTCCCATTACCCCAATTTGCGACTGGCTTTAATGATAAGGTTTAGAAAGGATACAAAACGTCAGTCCACTAAAGGTCTTGTTTCGTCGACTCTATCTTTTGTTTTAGGTGCCTGATATTTCACCATCACATCTAAAGTCTACTTGAAGACAAATGGCTGCTATTGATAACGAGACAATTTGCATCTGTTTCTTTAAAGCAGGTACAACTCCATGGTCACCGAATTTACTGTTCTAGAATCCAAGTTTGGATTCTAGTACAAACGTGAAGTTTAGTCCTAGGTCCTTAAAACAACAAAATCCACAATGACCGTCTAGTGTGATTAGCCGTGATCCGTGCCTACTGACCATGCAACCTGAAGTGACTATTTGTAAATGACGATGTCAGTTCTACTGTTACAATATTAGTAAACAGTAATTGTTGACGTAAATGTGATGACAGTTTGAGGTGACATCCCTTCGTTTTGTACGAATTTTTCCCGGCTACTTTCAAGAAACAGCTAGACTATGCGAACATCCATGTTTGTGAAAGGTTAACAAGGTCAGCTTGCGGCCTACGGCTGTTTTACCCAGGATAGACCTGAGTCATTGATACTTTGGCAGTCGGAAACCCCGCAAAGTACCCTAAAACTTCGAAAAATCTTATTATCATGGACATTAAACAGTGAGTCTGTATTACCAGTCACCTTTCCCTCGATTATTCGCACTTATAACTTTATATTTCATTTCGCTATATTACATTAGGTGGGCTAACGCATGAAATGTCCACCGAAATTCCGAAATGCGTATTCGTTTCGAAAATATTAATTAAGTAGGGTTGTAAAACTAGTCAGCCTGCAACATAAGTCTCTAATATTTCAGTTACCGCAGAATGCCGTCTTTCGAATTAAAGTCTTTCCGGCCGCATGCAAAAGCCACGATCTGCAAAAATGACTACTTAGAAAGCTTGATTTTTTCTCATTGATTTTCGATGCCCCTAAAAGTCCAATTATATTTCATGGAAAACACGCATAAAATATTCATTCTTTCGCTCATTCGGTAGAAAATTACGTGTTATTCTAACTTTATACTCAAAGGAGGGACGTAATTCAGTTTTAAAAAAAGTTTCGAATTGTGGTACTTTCAAATACCGTGAAATGACCGTTCGTAAATTGTCATGCCTCTGCATTTACCAATATGGCTTGTAAAGCTAACAATATGGGTCAAATCCCCTGCTAAATTGTAAGAACCCTATATGGTCTGCCTTTAGTACCGTAGACAAATGTGTGGTTTTCCGTACGCGGAACATATACGGCTTGTAGTTTGGAAACCCCGAATGCAAGTTTAACCGTAGGGCGGGTTCAAAGTTTTCGGGAATTGGAAAAGTTTTTGAAAACCGGAATATATACCCTTTCTTCGAGTATAAGATTAGACGACAACATAATTGTCTACCGAATGAACATAATAATGAATATAGCTATGCATGTTTTCCGTAAAATACAATTGGGTTTTTAAGGGCATCGAAAATCAATGATAAAATTATGCTACTTAAGCAGTCATTTTTTACAGAGGTAGTGTTTGCACGCAGCCGGAAGGAAGTTCTTTCGAAAACCGGCATCCTGAGGTAACTGAAATATTATAGAATTGCGTTGCTGGCTGACTAGTTTTACAACCTTACTTAATTAATCTTTTCGAAACGAAAACGCATTTCGGAATTTCGGTTGACATTTCATGAGTTATTCCACCTACTGTAAGCTTTAGGCGCGATGATTGGAAAAACTGCTACCACAACCAGGTGAACGCCAAGCATCATCGAAATGGTCCCTTTTAAGATAACGGTTGCTAGTTTAAACATACATCACTTGACAAGGAACGGGGACTTTTGTAGCTCCTGAGCAGCCTATTGCATCCTATGTTTTTTTGTCCTCCCTTGTTAATTTCAGTGCTTCCCTACCCCGGACTTATTGTTTGTGTTTTACTGTTCACTTGTAAAACAGCCGACATTTGTAGTTTAGTCTGCTACAAGGCCTTGCATGTAACCATTCCATGATTATAGGATTAGCGATCGCAGTAAAAAGATTGCGTAGTCTTGCATATTTTTCTATCCTATGAAATCTATAGCATTATTCACATTCAGTCTGATTTTTCAGCACTTGGCAGTCATGGCAGTTGTTTATTTTCCTACGTAGAACAATAAATAACTTTGCATATATTTTAATTCCGCCCTGATTTAGTTAAACGATAGAACTTCCACAGATATATGTTAGCACAGTAACATGGGAGACTGGAATGGCCGTTTTTAGCTTATTGACCGTCATCAGCCAGCCAAGCCCAACCTCGGGTTTTTGCAAACTCTGGGCCTCGATCTTACGACCTGTTGATAAGACGTCAAACTCCCTAACCACTGAGCCAAGGACTCGTTGTTCTGTCGGTTGCGATCTGGTTTATGCAATGGTAAGGGACGCTCACCTATACTACTAGCCGCCATGCGGCTGCTGGCGGGGCTCAAGGTTGAGCCCCAAGGCAAGACAGGGTTTAAGTCTTACGGCAAACGAACTTTCGTTACGGGTTGCCAATTATATTTTCTTGATATTGACCGAAGGCCATTACTTGCAGCTCTTCGTAACTCATACACTCTCTGATGAGTGAGTCAATGTAGATTTTAATTAAGCTTGTAAATGCTGTTCGGCCAAGAAACTATAAAACGGAGGATGTGTTCTTTCGCGTAATGTAATATTACAGGCTAAATAACACTGTATTTGAATCGTGCGAAGAGAGCGTTGCGATTTCTAACAACTGTTTTGACTTGGAAAATTACTGGTATTGCGTATTTCGTTTGATCTCGGCTTGAAGTAACAGGACGATGAATACAAAAAATCCCCGAGATGACTTGCAGTAAAACACGGATTTGTGTTCTACGTGACACACAGACGAAGGAAAATTTATGTTAGTATCTATGAAAACTGTGTTTATTGATAAAGCGTTTTTGGAACGTTTACTTTGTTGCAAGCCAAACTTATTGCATCTGGCATTCTGTCAGCGAAAATGAGG